AAAGCTGCCAAATGCAAGAAATCGCAGTTGGGTTTGTTTATGCTATCAAAACAAGGCGACGATTTAACAGTCTAGTCTAACATGGGCCTCCAAATTTTTAGGTTTTCCAGCATTTCATGGCTAATTTCTTATTTTTTATTTATTTTTTCTTGACAGTGAAGATGATGATGTTCTGACTCACCTTGAACAATGCACTGGAAACCTAAAGATTGCTGAAGATAATTTGTGGAAGAAAGATCTAGAAACTGATGCAACTACAACAACATGTACAATGCAGCAGCAAAGTGCAAATCTTGAAAGTCTTAGTTCATCTCAACTGTGCAATACGTTTTCACCAAGCTGCATTCCACACTTCACACCCTTTTATGTCAGTGTCATTGAAGATCCCAAAGCCAAAATGGGCGCCACTCAGTTAACAAAACATGAGAAAAAACTTTTGTCTGAATATGAGCAGCGAGAAGGTATTCACTTGGCAAAGATGATGGACAATGATGAAAATCCCAAGGAATGGGCAGGAGAGACATATGAAAGGACAGCTGTTAAACATGGGGATAGAGCATTTCACAAGTTTAATAAAAAACTGCAACTATGTCCACAACAATGCTTAAGGTAAGCTTTTGTTAGAGGATTATAATTAGCAAGCACCAGAAACTCTTTGTAGCGGTGATCAAATACAAAGAGGAGAACTGGAATGTCTTAGGCACCCAAGAGTATTTTTGACAAGAGAATATCATTGTATTTCCAAACGTGTTATGGCGATGTAATTCGTCAAGTTCAATGTAGAATTATTGTTGAATCCCTGTTAATTCTGTGTTTATTTACATTTTTGTGCTAGATATCAGTGGAATGGTGCTCCTGTGTCTACGGTAACTGCAAACGTGTCAGAGCTCTTGGCAAACGTTCCCCGATGTCAACATTGTGCGGCAGAGCGAGTCTTTGAGTTACAGTTTATGCCTGCGCTGATTGGTAATTTAAAATGTGCAAAACAGTTGAATTTAGCTCATAAACTTGATTCCCCTCACCATGAAAATCAAGAAGGACAAATATCACAAGAAAGCAATCAAACTAAATTGGAAACTTTAGAAAACAGTGAAATTTTTGCAGATGATCCAACTCACCAACAAGACCGATGGAAGACGTTCATGGCAGCTGTCAATCAAACTCGTGACGTCACAATCGAATTTGGAACTGTAATGGTGTTCACGTGCTCTCAGGGTTGCTGGAAAAATGTAGAAAACAATGAAGATAGCAGATACTTGGAAGAGTTTTGTTTGGTTGAATGTGATCCGGATGACCGGTTATTTAAATAAAAAACTGAAGCGTCCTCTGTTTGTTTCTTCGTTTCTAAGCTTATAGACTTAAAGTCCCGAGGAGCGTTGTGTGATGGCACTGATGTTGACTGCGAAGGACACTAATAGTTCTCTGGCATTTCTACTGAATTTGACATATTTTGTCCGTCAGGTTTGGTTGTTTCCTTATTTGAAAATATATAGCTCCTTTTGCGTCGTCAAGTGTAAAAAAAATAAATGAATACAGTCGAACCTCCATATGCGACAACCTCCCATAAACAACCGCCAATCCAAAACACTACAATTTTCCCAGTCAAAGCCTTACAGTTTGAACCTCTAGTAGACGACAAACCTCCTGTAAGCGACCGCGACCACTTTTTTGGCCTGACGGTTAATGATTTTCCATTGTATTTAACCTCTTGTAAGCGACCACTTGACGCATTCTCTGATCTCTATGTTCGCTGTGTCCACTATGCTACTTAGAATATACGAAAAACTTTAGGAACAACATGTCACGACACATGCAATAAATTGCATGTAATAAATTATCTTCCATAAAGTAGATGTACTTGGACCGCTTCTCGGAAGAGGCCCCCAGTAGTTCGATTCTTGGAAACGACCGCCTCCCGTAAGCGACCAATAAGTCTGCATTTTGGGTGGTCGCTTACGGGAGGTTCGACTGGATAAAAAAGGGTACAATTTTGTCTACGGTGGGTGTTTGTTTAAAAAAAGAGACCCACTTATACGGGTTCAAACAAATTCTTGATCGGAAGAAAATTGCACTAGTCTACCTTTCTTTTACGCTGTCCCGCGGAATAAGTTACTGCAATCTGTGGAAGAATTTGCATGGTTTCGTGTAAACTGGTTGCAAAATTTTCCTGGACCCGCGAGTAACCTTTCTGTAACGGAACGCTGTTATATATTTGCCGTGTTTGCATTCAAGATCAAAGTAATAATAATTTGAAAAACGAGACAATAGGGCCATTTATACGAGGAAAAATAAGACGCGAACTCTCCGTATAAAAGGCATATTTCGTCTAAAATAAGACGCGGCTTAGTTAAGACGCGTCTTATTAGATAAGACATGCTCGTATAAATGGTGCAGTTCGCGTCTTATTTAAGACGCGTCTTATTTTTCCTCGTATAAATGGCCCTAATGAAACTGTTGGATAACCAAATATAGTTGAGTGGGTTTTGAGCTAGGAACCGTGCTACCGTTAACAGGTTTTGATTTTTAAATTTGCCCTGGGGCCCCCAAAGTTTTTCGGCACTTTCGAGAAGCGGGTCCCAGTATCCAATCTAGAATTGAATCCGATTAAAGCCTCCTACACTGGTCGTTCCTCCCTAAGTTTGATTGCGTTATTATATGTGGGATTTTTAAAGATAAAAGTAAAAGTGGCTATCAAATTGTGTAAATATATAACAAACTACTTAAAACTGTCGAGGAAGTTAGGGCATGTTTACATGGAGGTGGGGGACCCCAGGAAGGTGAGGTAACCCGTATATAATCTCTCATTTTAATTTGATCACGGTTACATGATAGGTGGGGTGACCCGCCTCATGTTACCTCACCTATCTGGTGTCCCCCACCTCCATGTAAACAGGCCTTTAAACTGAATATCACAAAATGTTTTTTTCCTTTGTTGGCGATACTGTCATTAAAATTTAAATTGTCAACCTGCACGGCCAGCAACAGCTAGGGATTAAGCTTCCTATTACCTTTTGTGGATGAAGTGTTCTTTAAGTTTAACGTGGTGTGAAAGTTTGTTAAATTTCCATGCCAGTGCTGCTAACACTCTTGGAAAATTTGAGCATTTGATTTTCCGTCAGTCCTTGACTAGAAGGCTGGCAATCAAAAACTTCGAAAAAGCAAATTCGCAAATCTTGTTAATCGAAAGGTTTTTTTTCGTTTTTGTTTAATTGTTTTTCGTTTGTTGTTATCCAAGGTTACTCTCACTAATTATTTGCTAGCAACGAGGGTGTATATTATAATCCCTTTGTAAACTGCTGTTTAGTAACAGATGTTAACTACCCTGAATGACATCGTCATTCAAATCATATCAGTCATAAAGGATAAAGAATTACTTAAAAAAAAAAAACTTAACTTAGTATGCTTTTTTCTTACGTCAATCGGTGTAACTACTGAATTAACCTTTTATTTTACAAATATTGATTTAATTGTAAACTCGTAGCGCTCAGTGGCCAATTTAGCAAAGAGATCTAAGGCCAAGTATAAAAGCAAATGCTTCTCGTTCGGATTTCTATAAAGAAGGGATCGGGCGGAAGTTTTTTTTTGTTGCTTGTTATGTCCTACTTTTAATTATTGCCAATTGAATACTTTCTTTACAAATTATTACCTCCCCCAAAGGATACACTGGAGTTCTCCGGTCAAATATCAATAAAAGAAACTTCAGACAATTGTACTAAATTGCAATTAGTTTACCCACAAAGCGCTTAGGAGTTCGAGCGAACTCTTTAAAACGTATCCGTGCGTTCCTGATAGAATTGGAATTTAGAAGTGTTGGTTTTTAAGGAGAGGGAAAAACCGGAGTACCCGGCGGAAAACCTCTCGGAGCAAGGGGAGAACCAACTACAAACTCAAACACATATGGTGGACGCCGGGATTCGAACCGGGCCACGTTGCTAGGCAGCGAGTGCTCTCACCACTGCCCCACCCTTGTTCCGTAAAATAATACAATAATTGATACAATAATTTGGTTTATTTTGATACATGTTTCAAAAAACGTGATTTGTCATACGATATATCTTAATAGGTAGCTATGGTGAATTTAGAATGCAAATTTAGGACTCAGTATTTAATAACATGCTCCGTTTTATGGAAAGTAACACTTGTTACGCAGGATTGCAGAATGATTGGTGTTGAAAGTAGCGCCTGTGGTTTTTGTTCATTCCCACTTTTCCAATATTTGAAATAATGAAAAATGAGAGGCGGCCCCCAAAAATGAAGCTGGCGGGGACGAACTACACTTATTTAATGAAAACCCTTGAATGCAGAGGTCCAGTACACGCCTAAGGGCGGTAGAGGACCCCAGGTAGGTGAGGTAACATGTGGCAGGTCACCCCACCTGTCATGTAAACGCGATCAAATTAAAATGAGAAATTATATGGACAGGCGGGTTACCCCACCTAAGCGGGCTACCTCACATACCTGGGGTCCCCCACCTCCATGTAAACACGGCCTAAATAGAAACGACTGGTTATTTCTTACCGGGTCTATAATGTAAAGATACTAATGGCAGGTGTCAGTTGACGTGGGAATTAAAACAAAACTGAATACAAGGCTGGTAATGCGCAGCAAAGGGCTGATTCATTTGAGGCCAATATTTCGGTCAACATGCAAAATTAGCCTCCCTTAGGGCCAGAGCTACACTGAAATATTGGCCTCAAATAAATCAGCCCTTCTCTATACTGCCAGCCTTGTATTCACTTTGTTTTTGAAATAATTGTTTTTGTTGCATGTTTTGTTTTGTTTTTTACTTGGCCGTGATGCTACCATTTACCAATGTCTTCTTTGTAGGAAGATAAGATAAGAATGACTAGAAATTTAAGTCATCTTCTCTGCTGGCTGTTCATGGTTTAATTGTGAGCCGATTTTAGGTGCGGCGAATATGGGTCTTGCCCTTTTTTTTCAGTATTACGTCTCTTAAAAAGTAACTTTCCTAGAATAACTTTACCCTCTCTCCTAAAATGCCTGTTAGTAGCACCATATATGAAGGGGTTGATTGCGCTACTCAAATAAACTAAGAACCCGTATGTAAGGTACACCTGTCGAGGCAAAGTGGGTATCCTGAGCGCAGCATCGACGTAATCGATGACGCAAACTGGAAGCCAGTAAAACGCAAAACCAACTATTACCGCCCCTAAAGTCTTAGTAACTTTCGTTTCTTCTATGTTCGCTCTTAACTTTTGGAGGTTGTTTCTAGTTGCAAAGATTCGTTTTGTCAATGAAACTGTGTAGAACACTTTGACATAGCAGATTATGATCAGCAAAAAGGGTGTTGCCACATACACGCATTCAATAAAAGCGGTAAACGCAATGTTGGTTTGAAACGTGTACAGGCACATTGCTTTTCCTGCTTGGAACTCAAATCCGCCTTTTTCAAGAAAGAACGGAGGCACAGATCCAATTAAAGCGGCACACCACACGACGCCGACGTACGCCAAAGTGTTTCTTGCCTTAAATAAAACGACGTATCTTTCTGGTTTTTTCGCACAGAAATATCTGCTAACTGCAATTATTGCCATGGTGAGAAGAGACGTCATGCCAAACGTAAGAACACCAAAGCCATGGAACTGGCACAAAATATCACCAAAGATCCAACGGCCGCGAAAAAGTAGGGCAACTGAAAACGGCACACAACAAGTCGACATCAAGATGTCACTGACTGCCAGTGCTACCACGAATATATTTGGGATCATGCGAAGTCTCTTGTTCCTGTATACAGCATAACAAACGAAGAGATTTCCGTTAAAAGCCGACACGTTTATGAACACAAATAGAAAGGTCTCAATCCATATCAAGTGAATTGGTCTTGTGTAAAGCGCACGAGAAAGCGAAGTGTTCATGTTTGATGATAATAAAGACTGATTCAAGGGACAACCAAATCAGTATCTTCTGTATTTTCAGAAATTATACGTTAATTAACATAAAACGTCCTTGTTTCTACTGTTGTCCTTGTCAAATCAAGTTTCTACAGAAAGACATTTAACTGTCTGTTTACAGCCGGTATTGATACACTTAGCTATGCAGACAGGTGTAACACTCAACTGCCGTTAGTGCCCACCTTTTTTTTCGCGGCCTGTTCTAGGCATTCTTGAAAGCATTTCCGCAACACGTGTACACAGAATTTTAAGCTTTCTTGTTTGCCAAAATAGCAGACCCATTGTGTAGGATTAAAAGCGCCGGGGGAACTGTACCAAGTATGGATTGTGGAGGCTCAAACCAAACGAGAGAAAGTACTACAACGCCATATTTACCATTTTCGCTCTTAAAGTTTTGATCATAAATCCCTCCTACTAGCTAATGGTTTGATGCGTTATCAATATGGCGATATGAAATTTTATAACTTAATTTGTCTAAACAGTTTTGTCCGGGCTTGAAGCATTTACTTTTAAACTTGTTATTTTGAGAAAAATTTAAAAGGATCTACATTAACAGCTAGTTTATACAAACTAAATATAGCTCGCTCGAATTTTCTCCTTTGAGGCAGCGTCACTGATTGGTCAGTGCGTCTGCGGACTCGCAATGAAAAATGCGCGGGAAATTTCCTTATTTGAATTGACCAATCAGAAGCCGGGATCTCTATTGAGATCTAAATGAGCCAGAAATCCCAGTTTTCTACTACTCGTATACTTTCAACAGTTAGCAATAGGCAAAGCAAACTGGCCGGAAGCCAACAAAACGCAAATAAAACACCTTGACTTCTGTCTTGGTGTCTCGCACTGTTACCGTAAATGACCTGATAAACGCCCGGGGTGTCTATTAGATTTTAGGGGTCCAAGGGGGGCCTTTTTGTATATAAGAAGTGTTTAAAAGGGAGAGACGTCTGTTCTCATAAATTTAACAAACTCAAGAAAACCAATACGCTTTTTGTAAAGTACTAAGAGAGTTTAATAATAGCGGAATATCAAACCCATCAATTGATACGTCTGGCTTGTCTGTCCCATGATCAATGTCAGCATCCTCGTTCAGGATTATTGAGTCTATCCTTACTTTGAACTTGACACCAAGCAAAATAATGAAATACCAAAGCTTCGTTAATCATTAAGCAAGAAATTGAATGAACTGAATATTTTTGCTCCTTTTTGCTCATTCCTAGTACTTTGGAGTAATTTTCAGAGGGAAGGTATATTAGACACCAGGGTTTATTAGAGAGGGGCGTCTAATACAATTCTAAGGGCGTAAATTGGGGCGTTTATTAGATAAGAAGCGTTTATTTTGAAGTAGGTATTTACTAGGTCACTTCCGCTATTTTCTTTTCAATTCACGTGTCCGGCAATGTACCATAAGACTGTCTGGAGAAACGATGAATGATTTGGGAATTTAAAGAACGGATAGGCCACTTTTCTGCTCTGCAGGAATTAATTTTTCCGTTTGAGTGAGACTGATTTTCCTTTAGAATAAGTTTTAAGTGCTTTTCAGCAATTTTCAAACAACATTTTGTATCATCCGAACGAGGTATCTATTTTTCTGGGGAAAATGCTTTGCGGATCAACAATTTAACAGGAGAGATTTAGTGGCATATGGTGTGATAAGTGGGCAAAGAAATGAAATATTTAAAAATTATTCCTCGAGCCCGAATGGGCTCTGAGTCAATAGCCCATGAGGCTGTTTATTCATTTTGTGACAGAGAGGGCTCCCTATGTAAAAATATCGTAAAACCTCTACAACCAGTAGACGGGTGGTGCCATCAAGTCAGTGTTAATTGCCTCTACAGGTGGATTAAAGCGCTTTTTCTTACTGTAACAACTTGTGCCATTCTAGAAGTGTCTCCTTTTTAAATATATATGCCCATTTCGAGGTTACCCTTGAGACTGGTTTAGGAGGTATTTCACACGATTTGCCGCACAGCCTCTGAGTAGCCAATTAAAATAAGCCAAAACACCCTACAACAATCCCATATAACAAAATTCAACAAATCTCTTGTACAACCTTAAATTGGCCTATAAATCAAGGAAAAAAGATTTAGTCAACTGGCAGGGAAAATTACTGTACTCTCCAAGTGTCCTTTTTTTTTCTTTTCTTTACGTCATTTACTTTAAGATATTTCTCTTGCTTTGTTTTAAAATACATTCCTGTAACAGCATAACAGGACTATTATTATTTACTTTAATCTGTCTTTCTGTTTATAGACCTGCACACTCTTTCAGCTCTTTCTTATTAATAAACTTTAATTAAACACATCGCTTGAACAGCAATTGTCTTAAATAATAAAGTAAATCAATTAACTGAAGATCTTTAATTACTTGATTTTTGTGGGCCGATTTAACAGATGGGTGCGGCAAACATAGATCTTTTTTGCTTTTAGGATGATTTCTGACTAAATACTTTCCTCAGAATAACTTTACTTCCTCTCCTGAAATGCCTGTTAGTTACACCATATATAAAGCGGGTGGTAGTACTGCTAAAATAGATCAAGAATCGGTATATAGGGTAAACCTGTCGAGGCAAAGTGGGTACCCTGTACGATGATGCAGACTGGAAGCCAGCAAAACGCAAAACCAACCATTACCGTCCCTAAAGTCTTAGTAACTCTCGCTTCTTCTATGTTTGCTCTTAACGTGTGGAGGTTGTTCTTTGCTGAAAAGATTCGATTTGTTGACGAAACTGTGTAGAATACTTTGACATAGCGTACGCTGAAAATTGAAAAGATCTGTTTCAGCCCTAGTGTCAATTCAGCCCTGCAGGCCAAAGTTTGATTCAGCCCTTCCTGGAGCCATTTGAACACAATTTAGGCCAAACAAGCTCTATTTCAGCCCTAGCTAATTGGACTGTATTGGCCCTGATTTAAGGGAGCCAAATTAGACTCAAAACTAGGACTGTATTTTAGTCACCGAAACGGCTCTATTTTTAGGGCTGAAACAGTTTCTGATTTAGAGTGTAATATGATTAATATAAAGGGTATTGCTACGTACACGCTTTCAATAAAAGCGGTGTTGTAATGTTGGTTTGAAAAGTGTACAGGCACCTTGGTAGCCTTTCCTGGTTGGAATTCAAATCCGCCATTTCTAAAGAAAAACGGAGGCAGCGATCCGAGTGAAGCGGCACCCCACTCGACGGCAATGCATGTCATAGTTTTTCTCGTTTTAAATAACACAACATATCTTTTACCACGAGGAGGTACCTACTAATTTTTATTATTTGTATGCTGTAAAGAGACGCCAAGCCAAATGTAAAAACATCAAAGCCATGAAACCGGCAAAAATATTCACAAAAAATCCAAAGGCCAAGAAAAAGTTTGACAACTGAAAACGGCACACAACAAGTCGACATCAAGACGTCACTGACTCTCCTTCTCTTTGGCATTACCCTTTGGTTTAAACGATAATATCTGCTGCGTACAATCGGCGTACGTATGCGCAGTTGGCAAATGTTTCAAGATGACCTGGAACAACTTGCTTGCATGGAGGGNTGAAAACGGCACACAACAAGTCGACATCAAGACGTCACTGACTCTCCTTCTCTTTGGCATTACCCTTTGGTTTAAACGATAATATCTGCTGCGTACAATCGGCGTACGTATGCGCAGTTGGCAAATGTTTCAAGATGACCTGGAACAACTTGCTTGCATGGAGGGTAGGGTGAAGAGGAGTGGTCCTAGGCATGAACCCACATGTTAGCTGAAAGGTGTCAGAGATCCCATCACCAAATGCAAAACACTGTGACCTGTTCGACAGGTAAAATTGGAACCAAGCCAGTCCCCTCCCTGAAACTAATCTCGTTTTCCCCACAGTAAATAAAATTCCATTGTCTGCTTACAGCAGTAGTGCAGTGCATTAAAGACAGCTGAAACATGTGCTCAATTGTTAGAGGCCCATGCAATAAAGCGCCTATTGTACAGAGAATTTTTCTATTGAGTGCTTTCTATAGTAAATGTCCGCAAACATTAAGCTCATTTGTGATGTTTGCATTTCGAATTCTCTAAAGTGGATTATTCCTAGGAGCTGGCCCTCTCTGTAAAACGGTCGTAGTTGACACAGACACAATGTTAAGGAGGATCAAAATGTGAGCTGATGGATAGTGAAGAATCGATCGTTGTTTGTCCTCGCATAATGTAGTCATTCTACAGTTTGTTTGTACGAAGAGTGGGGAGGGGAGGGAAAGTTCCTGTCAACAGCAGTTAACCAGAAATTTTCTCTCTGTCACCTGAATTCAGGGAAATTGTCATTGTCAAGAAAAATACCCAAATTAACGTTTTACCTACTAACCAAGAGAGAATGATCTCATTCTCTCTTGCTACTAAGTAAATAAAAACATTGTCTAATCATCTTCTTTCATACCTCTTCTTACAACTTCGAGAAAACTATTACCTAGCATGGAAAAAAATGGTGCTCCTTTCCTCGCAGAGAAATAAAAACTTCGAACGTGTCTCTACGATATCTCCTGGTCCTAAAAATAGGAGGAAATAGGCACGATAGGGATAACTAATAAGCGGATTTCCATTACGCTGCCCTAGCCTGCCAAAGACCAACCCTTATGTCTTAAAGATGGCCTTGAAACAGTGACATAGGACAGCAGAAATTGCGACAAACGACACAAAGATGGGTTGAAACTGCGACAGCGACGGAGAAACGCTCAAATTAGATAGTATTATACTGCTACATGAGAAATTTCTGCAATTTGATTGGCTTCGAGTAGTAGTATTCAGCTAAATTTGAAATACCTACTATGAAAATTACAAACCTTTTGCGGGTAGTAGTATAAAGAAATAATAGCATTATTTGTACGTGATATTTGGCATAAATACCACTCGTGATATTTCAAGATTGTCACAAATTTCACTCGCCTAAAGGCTCGTGTAATTACTTATAACAAATTCGAAATATCACTCGTGGTATTTATGCCAAATATCACTACAAATCATGCTATTACTTACACTTATACTACTACATGAGAAATTTCTGCAATTTGATTGGCTTAGAGCAGTGGTATTTCAGCTTAATTTGAAATACCTACATGTGAAAATTACAAAACCTTTGCGGGTAGTAGTATAAACAAATAATAGTATG